ACACTCCTGTAACTCAGGCCCCAGACCTCCCCAGACTCCCCCAGACTCCCCCAGTATTTTACCATACTCACCTCCTCCTGACAGGGTTTTTCCTGCTCTCTCCCTCCTTCTCCTTCTTCTCCTCCTCCTTCCCGCTCGCTGCCTCTTTCTGGCTGACAGCTCATTTAAATGTCACTTTGCAGCAGCTGTGGCAGCGATGTTACGCAACATAAAGTTCCTGTGGGCCGAGCCAGGTCCTGTTGGAGGGACGATCGCTGTCACCTCATCACCGCTCACCTTCACACAGCCTTGGCTTCATTAGCATAGCATGACTCACCCTGAAGCAGGCCGGCGGTGAAGGCCAGCTCAGGTCTGCTGGGAGTTTTAGTTTGTGGCAAATATTTACCAAAGCTGCAGATTTAAACATCACTCTGTGTGTTATAACGTAGTTTTGATTGGAAGTGCACTGCAAAAGAAAAAAGCTGTTTAAAAAGAAGTTATTTCAGAGGCTGGGGCGCCAAAACACACTGTAACATAACAAAAAAATTTAAACATCTCACAAAACACAGCAATTTCCTATAATTAAAATACACAAAATTGCAAATTTTTGACTTTTTAATGTTTAATGAAAGATAATTTAATGTGGAAAAACATTAAAATTACAATGTAATGGTAATATACAACAATATATAATGATATCAATTGATCGATATGATAATAAAACTTTATTTTGACAGACTACCAATACTTCTAGATATTATACACTAATGAAAACACATTCATTCAATATTTTTGTTATGAAAATTCTATCTATGATAATACAAGATGTCATTCATTAGCAAACTAATCTGTGCAAAATTACAAAGTCAACATTTCTTTTTTCTTTTTAAGAAAAAAATTAATTATTTCTAATTTTGCACATGCATTTACAACATATTAAAATCTGACATCAACAGTTCCATCTAGAATTTTTTTAAAATGTGAAAATATTAGATTTAAATTAAATTATTTGTGTCATTCATTTGCTGATGTAATTATTTTCTTTTTTAAAAAATGCAATAAAAATTTAGAAATAAATATTCATGAAATTATGATACATTGGTATTTTAGCAGTGTGCATGTATTTTTTTTAAAATCACAGTTACAGATTTTTTTAAGTGTTATTTATTATTATTTTAATATAATTATAATTCTAAATTATAAATAAAATAAAATTATAATTTTAATATATACATTCATAAACTGTTTATTTAAAAAAACAAATAAAATTGGTACAATAAAGTGGAACATTTCCATAAATTGACGTATCCTTTTTTACAGTGTAGATGTGACAAAGACATGATCTGGACATTGAAGGTTGCTGCTTGGTGACTTATTGTGTTTCTGAAATGGCATCCGTGAATGTTATTATGTCATAACTGGACTGAGACGAGCCTCCTGATCGTCTTTTCTTCATGACACTCTGATCTCTCGTATGCAGCGTCAGTCTGCTGAGAAGCTGCTGAAAGAAAAGTACAGAAGCTGACAGGCAAAGTGAGAACAGCTTCAAGCTGCTGCCTTCAATACACGGAACAAAAGTCATTTTACACAACGTGAGGAAATAATGTTGAACAGCTACAGGTTTCATGTAATACTGTGCAGATTTATAAATATTGATTGACTGATCAGGCCTCTTGATCCTACACTGTAAAAAAAAAACTGGCCAAAGGGAGTTGTTAAAAATGGTAAAATGGTAACACAAACGTTGCCAAACAGTTCACAAAAAATTGCAATTAATTACCCAGTTACATAATTCAACAACTAATGAAATGAATGTATTTTCACCGTTAGAAAGCATCTTTTAAATATGCTAAAAATCTAAAATATATATAAAGTACACAATTTCTTTTGATGTTGCTGTCTTTTAAAATCAGAATAATTGTATTGTTTCAAATAACTATTTTATCAATATACAATATATGCCTGTCCATCCACAGATATCTATAAAATAAAATAACTAAAAAGTAAAATAAAACAAAATAAATGAAAAATAAAATAAATAAATAAAATAAAATAAAATAACTAAAAAGTAAAATAAAATAAAATAAATTAAAAATAAAATAAAATGAAATTAAATAAAACAAAATAAAGAAAATATAAATTAGTGTTCACTTTATCATTTTTTAAATAATCTAGCACATTTAGTTTAAATTTATTACCTTTTACATTTTGATTACTACAGTAGTCGACCATTTTTTTCACATTCTTGCTGCCAGATTTTTACAGTTTAAGAAAACAGCTTCATTAGTCTGTGTTTTGTTTTGCTAAATTAACACTGTTAATGCAAAGTGAGATACTTTGACTGTACTGCTACAGCAGATTTATCTAAAAAGTTAGTTTCCTTTATTTTACAGATATTTCCAACACTGATATTAATCTGTATTTATTTTGCGGTGAATGTCTTTGGATGTCTTCGTCCTGATGCTGCGTGAGTGATATGTGATCTGATGATCTCAGGGCCTGATGTGGATGAATGAGTCACAGACAGGAGGATCTGCAGTAACACCACACCAGCACAGAAGCGTCCAAGCTCGCAGTGTTTCTGCTGCGGTCGGTAACCTGAGTGGATTCTGGCCTCCGTGTGGCTCTGTCACTGAGGTAATGAATCACAGGGGAAGAAGCTCTGCTGCTGCTGCTGCTGCTGCTGCTGCTGCTGCTGAGACACACTGTAATGGCATCTAATGAGCAGGTCTGATGCTGTCACAAGGCCCAGCTGTTCCTTCAACTCCTCCTGAACTTTATGAGGAATTAAAAAAGCCGCAGAACGTAATAAAGTGGCTCCATGAAGTTCTGTGGCTTTGAACTTTTCACCTTTGAGTCCCAGCGGTCTTACTGCTGGTCCTACATTCTGACAAATAAATAAATAAATAAATAAAAATGAATAAGTTGTTTAGACGTTTACCACAAAGAAATACAGTTTTTTCCCCTATGTTTTTATGTTAAGAGAATATACCTGTAGAGTGCAAAGCAATAACCTCTTCTTTCTTTCTTTCTTTCTTTCTTTCTTTCNAGCAACAAAAATAATTATTTATCAAATTATTATAGTTTTATGACAATATAAGTAACAGTTTTTACAGTTTTGAACATTTGACTGTAAAATTACACATTTTTTTTTACTGTATTTAAATAAACAAACAGTTTCCTTATTTTAAAAATATTTGTTTATATTTTTTTAAAAAATCTTTTTATCACAGACTGAAAAAAAGTAAATATCATTATATATTATTTCATCAGATTTTTCATGATTTGTTAAATTACAGATAACTAACAAAACCATAAAATAAAATAAAAACATTAATTTGTATGTTAACTGTAAAAAAGAAAAAGAAAAAGTCCAAAATAACATTTCAAAAAGTCTGTATTTTTTTTTTAGAAATGTTTTTTTAAAATTGCGATCAAAAATAATTTTGTAATATAATTTTCTAATTTTATAAATCACTATTTTTACAGTTTTGGACATTTGACTGTAAAATTACACCATTTTTACTGAATTTTTTTATTATTATACAAAAACAATCATTATTTTACAGGTATTTGTTGTTATTTGAAAGAAAAAAATCTGTAAATTATAAAATGAAAAAAGTTTTTAAAATAATTTTGTTATATTTTTCATGATAA